ATCTTGAGCACAGACACTCAAGACACGGTATGCAGAGTAATTCCGGAAAAAATATTTTAAAGCAACGACAGTTTGGATGAATAATCGTTATGTTGGAAGATAAATTAAGTTGGGGTGTACTGTAAATTCTTGAAAACCAAACGCATCATAATTTTGAAAAAAATCCCACTTATTCTAGGATATACTTTTGCACTACTGTTTTCTATTTTAAACAACTTTGGCAACTCGGGAACATGAAACAGGTTCCAAATGAATCCTGATTCGATTAAAGAACCGTAACTGGGAGGAAACGTTTGGCCGTGTCTGCCGGCATGGGTTATTACACGTTCGACGGCATCACCCCTAGCAACTCCTTGTTACTTCTAAACTTAATAACATTTTTCTAAGATTGAATTAGATGTAAATTTTATAAGAACGATTTTTGCTCATTTGAGTTTACGCAAGCACTGTTTCCTTCTATTTCAGGCTTGTAATAGAAAGTCAACCTCGGACACCCAACAGAATCTTGGTACGTTAACTGAGTGGTGCAGATTTGCAACTAAATAATTGCACCTGAACTGTCAGGGACGTTTAATAAATTAATAACAGCTTTACAAAACTTCACTCTTTTTCAGCTGAAATTAACTTTAACATGTATTAAAGCGACATATTTATAAGAGATGGAAGAGAAGTCTATTCCCTTGAGCATTATTTTTTTTTCAACTTAAACCCAAGAACTGAAGACCGCCATTCTTTATTTAAACGTTTGTGAATTATACATTAAATTCTAGATGAATAGTACATGTACAAAATTTCAAAACTGTTTTTCTCAATAACTTTTGCAGTTTTGAGCCATATGTGAAACCATGCGCCACCACAAGCTGAGGTACATACACCGTTCTGGGTTCAGCCTAAAGTTCTCTTGTGAATACCGAGCAGTCGGAACGTTTGATCGAGACTGGAACACGATATATTAAGAGGGAAGTATGGTTAAGTCTTCGTTTTCTTTCGTTGGTAAAGTCGAAACCGAATCGTGGGGACAAAAATTGTCCCTGCATACGTTCCTGGCCCAACTGCATCCCACACAACTACCGAACACTTGGTGTGGTGTGTCTTCACTGGTCTGGGCTATAGTGAATCGGTTGAGTAGTTTCAGCACTGCTAAATCTACATGTACATGTAGGCCTACATTTAAGTCAGAAGACTCATGTAATGCCGGCAAGATTCACCCCTTGCTACTTTTCATCATGACTTACTTTGCTGTTTCGTCGGTCGTGTGTTGTCCAGACGGATGGACGTTGTTGACGCAGATATAAGATCAAATTTGATTCTCCCGTGTTAACCAACGGAGCTGCGGGACAAAATCGGGTACCGTACATTGTCGGGGATTTCCCAGCAACAGCAATCCCATTGAAACCAGCTCTTTCAAGGGTCACAGAGAGGTGGCTCTGGCTTGGGTTTTGTACTGGAGAGGGCGGGCTTGATTTTCAGAAAAGGGGACTGATTCGAAAAACATCGGGATCACTGATTTTTTTTCTATTAGGATCAGTGCAAATATATTCATTATCGAGATTGTACATTCTCACATTTTAGTGAGCACTGGATATTTCTGGATGTTACATCGGAACGATTAATTAAAAAAGGTATGCTGTTGCGAAATTAATATTTCCAGCACTTTTTTGTGTTCTTCTGAATAACAATGAGATTTTAAGCCTCCCCATGTTATTTTTACCAATGATAACACACATGTATTTTTTTAGAAAATTTCAACATACTGTACACCAACTGAAATAGGTGTACATGTATACTTATTATCGTTCATACGTGTTCCTGCACAAGTGGAAGTAGGCCTACAACCACAAATACCACTGGTGCGGCAGTAAGCCAGACTGCCTGGATTTGTTAACGCACTCAAATTGAGAGCAGACATTAACCCTAAAAGAGTTGTGGGAAGCAGACTCCGCCCTCCCCCGGCTTTTGTCCCGAAATTGCCGCAGAACAATTTTTTCAGAAATTGAGCTTTTACTGGTTTTTAGAGTAACTCTATGCGGTCATTTAACACCACTTTTGCAACAATCGGACATACCGTTCTCTCGTAACGTCCATTTTTCCGAGATGGATTGGCCAAAAATGTATATTACATGTAATTCCACTGCACTGCTTAATCCAAGCGTATTGGCACGCGTGTAGCCATGTACTTCAAATGACCGTAATAACAAAACGTATCTTCGGTTGGGTTCAAGTTCACGTTTATAATATTGAGTGTCTGTACATGCGCGCCAAGTTTCAAAAAAATCGGGCCTGGCACAGCCGAGTTCTTGGGGGCAGAATCCACCCCTCCGGCTGTGAGATGGGTCAAAATAACCATGCTCCTTGAGGGTGACATGTCTGCTCTGAGTATTCCTATTTACAGACAACACAAGTTATTTACCAACGGCTTAATAATATTTTCAACTGCGCGAAATAAGACAATCAAGTCTTCAAAAGTAAAGCAAATTTAATACCAAGGTCAAAATTCAAGCGTGGACGATGGCGAAGGGGGTACATTACCCATCTTAATTTCTAACCAGGGGGATGGGCTATTGCATCGTCCACCCCCCTCCCCCCACACACACTCACACGCGTGTTTTAAGGGGAGGAAGGGTGACTTGTGAAGTGTTTTTGAATTTCCCGGAAAAACATGTATTCAGTAAGCTTCCAAAAAAAGAGGAAAGTACAAAAGCTTTTTAAATACGTCACCTGGATGCGAGGTTAAAGGGTGTAAATAATTATACACAAGATGTATATGTTTATCATGAACAGCGCCTGCAGTGTCATCTGGTGCCCAGAATTAAGCGGGCAGTGTGAGATTTGACTCATCCCCAGAGATTTATGCCACCGAGCATTGGGTCAAGTATATAAACGTCTCTAGTCAAAAGGAGCTCCACTTCTTCTATGAAACCAGAAAATGAAACGCCATTATTCAATCCATCAAGTTCCGGTAAAATCTCAAAGCAAAATGTCGTAATATACCAAATTATAAACCTTTTGAAAACGAGCAAATTCGACTCAAATTCCAGGTAGTCTTTCATTGCTGAAGTATCACACAAATGATGTCATATCTCGAGATATAACAATTTCAATGACAGGTGAGTCAATGTAAATTTTCCCATCAAATTCCATCAACGAAATCCTAATCACGTCTCAGATAATTAGGTATTTCATTGTCCATACAGACAATGAAAGAACAGTTTACATGATAACCATACGCCTTCTGTACTTTGTAAACTTGTACGCTACTGATTTTCTTACAGCAAACATGCAGCTCAACTTGTTTTCAAGGATACTGTGTTTCGATACAAATAAAATCTGAATAGTAACCAACAGGAAACAGTTTTCCATTCATTGAAAATTCCTTTCATCGGTACATTTTAGAGGGCTCTATTTTTCACTACACAATGCACTAGGCCTACTTGTCAAAAGAGCATAAGAAAAAGTAATACAATTCGTCCTTCACATTTATCCCCAAAGTTTTAAAAAGTATTGGTTGTTATATTATATTGTTCAAACAAACCACTTAACCCGATAAACAAGTAAAAAGTAGACTTATTCCAGGAAAAATGTAGAAAGGTGTAATACGCAGAGCTATGGAGACACTTCACTGTTCTGTCCTGAAAGACATCAGACTTTAGCTCATGAATGTGAGTACGGAGTTTTCATGAGCATGAACCAAAGGTCGAAGTGCTCCCCTGTTAATGCCACAAATGAGATGGAAAGTCACAGCAATGTTACAAGAAGGCTTTCCCACACGTACACGCATCTAAGCTATGGAAATCCTATTTCTGTGACGCTGAGAAACTGGACAAGACAAAATACCGATGGTCATTACCTTAGACATATATGGTAAGACGAAGAGACTTATACACGTGTCGTTATTGACCTTCAGGCCACACTGGCAACAAACACAGCAAAATCGACGTCAATTGGTGCTGGGAAAATAGCGAAGTACCAAGCGCGAAAAATTGTGCGCCCTGCCGTGTGTGCACACTAAACTATATGTGAATACGGGTCATCCTTCATGCAAATGAGGTCAAGTTAAATATAAATCCGTACCCAGGAGACAAAGCCAACCAAAAGAAATTCCTTATCCCCACATCATATAAATTGCAGAGTAACAAATAAATGAAATTAACAATAAAACAAATTAATTGATGAACAAATGACACTAAACGAAATTTAAATGATGAACTATATTGTAACTAACAATATCTATTCTGTTTCGTATGATCGCCTTTAATGATGATGCATTAAAATAAATGTAGATATGGATTTCATTACTGTCTGTGAGTACATAGATAAAACCTGGGTATGTTAAGGCACGACGAGAGTCCACAAAATCTTCTACACTGAAGGCGAGAAGCAAAGTCCGTATCTCTTCA